GTAACCCAAATGTTCATAAAACTCTTTGACATGGGGCGTTTATATTTTTGTTCAGTGTATATATATCTGGCCAAGCCCTCAAAGAAACCGTCTCATTTGATTATGCAGAACAGCAGATGGTGGGTGTTCATAATACATTATCTGCATCTGTCCCAAACTAACCTTATTAAATTATTACAAATGAAACTTCTAACATGAATAACAAAAGCCCATGAACTGACCAGTCACTTTGAATTTGTTTCTTTCGCTCTCAGTTGCCTCTTCCTTTGCATATTTTAACTTGCAATAGACGCAGGAACACGACGGCTGGTGATTAATTTTATACTGATTTACTCTTATCCCCATAGTGGGAAATTTGTCTCTGTTGCTTCTTGCTTTGCCTAGCTGATAAAAAATAAAGATGGCTAAGCCTCTGTGCTGCCTGCCTGAACTGTGAGGAGGGGGAGGCGTTCAGGGCACGCGAAATGCATAACGTGGCATCGGTCATTATGGTTTCTGACAAGCCCCTTGCGTGGCCCAGATGCCGCAATACACTGAGGATCCCCCCTGCCCATGTTGCCACTCTAATCCAGCCCTGCATTAACTTAGCAGGATGACAGACATTGCTAAACAAGCTGGGTGGGCAAGCTGCTGCAGATTAATTATTGATAACTAACATGATTAAAAAAAGGTGGAGAGCAGAGACAAAAAGAGACAGACTGTGGAGGAGCTTGAGTGGGTGAGCAAAGACAGGAGAGACAAAGAATGGAAATATAATTACCAGAATAAACAAATGGTGACAAATACAGGGAGTGAGCAGCATTCAGTCAGAAGTTCATTAAAATAAAGTCAGCGGGCCTCGCTGTCCTATTACTTGTATGTACACACAAATTAAGAACTCTTAGTGGATCTATTAGTATGTTCTTACTTTCAAACTGCTCGGCACTACCTTAAGTCAGGACTTATTTTAAGCTTATATACACACATCTCTGTCATTTTTAATTGGTAATCCCTGGGTTTGTGAATACCAAAAATGATGGGAGGATGAAATATAAAATGCTCCCACAGGATAGACTTAGCGTTTTCTACATTTTTAATGATGTTTTTAAAATAATTAGGTTTTGCAGGTTTGCACATGGCTCTGAGGATCGCTGTATTAAATAGGATTATTTGTGCATTTATGTAAAGGGAAGAACTCTTATGCACATGTAATTGAAGGTCAGCACTGAGTCGAGAAGATTTTAATGTGCTAAGAAGACTCAGTGGTCTGTGCATTTCATGGGTCAGAAGTAGGTCTTCCTCTTTGTCCTTTATTTCATTTCTGAGATAAGCAGCTCTCTGGAAATTTTCTGAGTCCCTACGTTCAGGTTCAGAGCTCTTCCTAAATAAATGTCCCATTTTAATGATTCACTGGCCTCAACAAACACATCAGATGCTCTAATAACTGTATTCCATTACCACTATTGTGTCCCAGTCTACAAATTAAAGGCACAGATCCCCTCAGAGTGGTGTTTGTTGGACGTCCAGATACGTTGCCATTCTCTGCACAAGACTATCAGTCATGCTATAAGTGGAGAGTTGCTCCTCCAATACGTCACTTATGAGATAGCTACAGCTTTAAGGCCCAGAGCTGAGTATTTAAGACAGTGTCATATATCTGTGTGGCTGGCAGTAAAGCATAGTTTTTGTACAGATAGCAAGACAGGTGGACAGGATAGCTCATATCTGACTTTCTCGTCATAGGATCTGTATTAGGGCTCTGCAGTCTGCTGCCTCCAGGTAAAGATGTTCAGCTTTTGAGTGCACAGACATGATCTATTTTGCATGTTAAAAATCATGACCAGAATATTGAAAGACATAAATTGGTTAAGAGAAAGAAAAAAAAGGGAAAAAAGGGTGCTGTCAAACATGACTCACTTGTGCAATACATACTCCTCTCAGACAGATTCCACTGCTCACGCAGCATGTGTTCAATCCTCCTCTGATTCTACAACACGTTATAACTGTGGATTGATTAAAAAAGCCTGCTGTGCTTCGAGCGACACTAAACCATGAAGATGAAACCCTTAACATGCTTAAACAGACCTACATTGATCTGACAGACCTCACTTCCAAGCCACTGCTTTTCCATGGCTGGTTGCTGCAGTTTGTGATCTTGTCTTGTTTTATTTTCAGCTTGTCCTCAGGCAGAAGTTTCTAAAAGCATATGATAGTGGTTGCTTGTCTTCTGAAGGAATAAAAGGGGTATAGAAGAGGCACAAGAAGAGAAAGATTAAAAGAAGAGATAGTGGCGAGATGTTGGTCAGTACTGCTGGCGTCCAGCCTTTCTGTCACATAGCCAGCCCACCTGGGCAAACAGATGGGGATCTGATATGGCTAATTCATCTAACCTACAACAGTCACTAGCTCGATTAGCCTGGTCCCCAGAGCTCTACAGCTGACAGTGAGAGCCCACTGAGCAGGGAATGACAGCGTCGCCATTGACTTGTTACCCTGCGGAAACAGCTCCTCCTTGCACAATATGTGTAGACTGAGGACTCCAGTTTAACTCCATATGGTTGAATTCATTTTATAACAGTATATAGGGTAAAGCTTTTATTAGCCAGCAAGCAGCATGACTCTAATGTTGTGTTACAATGTCAGTCTAAAAACTGAAATATTTCAACAAATTCATCGTGTCCAAGGCTTGAAGCCCCCTACCTTTAGTGGTCCTCTAATGTTTACTCTTAACCGCCTCAAGATTGGCAATTTTTCTTTTTGACTTTTCAATTTTTTATGAGTTGCTGTGAAATTCCCTACAGATAGTTGCGTCCCCTAGACGATGCATTTGAATGAGTTTGGCGATCCCGTTGACATTTCATCCAGCACCATCAGGTCAAAATTTAAATTTCAAATGTCTTTCTCTTCACTTTCAGCTGTACTTATACTTGTGTGTTCAGTGGAAATAAGCAAGTTGTAGCGTGGAATAGTTAACCTGCTACATAGTACCAGATCCAGATAAACTGTGTGAATGTTAACAAGCTGATGTTAGTATTTAGCACAAAGCATCTCTTTGCCTAAGTGCAGCCTCAGAGCAGCTAGCATGCCTGTAAACTCTTTATCTTGTTGAGTTATTGATCACATTGTGTGGTTTTCTTGGCCATAAGACTAAACCTGTCGACATCTAGTGGACAATAGATGTGCTAATAGTAAAAAATGTATCTATCCTGGTACCCATATGAATGTCTAAATGTTTCTCTGATGTTTAATACTGAGTACATTCTGTGTTACGGACTGTGTATTCTGCTACATGTGGAGCTTGTGCTTTGATTTTTACTACATTTAATGAGCAGAATGTACAGTCAGTGAGAAAACTGTCATTTACACTTTGATAAACAGCCACAAATCTGGTACCACCTTAATAAGAAGACATGATTGATTTTCAGTGCTTGAAAAAAAACCAAAAAAAAAACCATCGTAGTCGCTGTCAGCTCCAGCTGAGTCATTAGTGTTATCCATTTTTGAGGTGACACATTTCAGCTTGAGTGGGTCAGCAGTTCCAGCATTATATGCAGTAATTGAGTTGCAGTGGATTTGTTTTCATGTTTGGCCTACCCGCCAAATGATGGTGAAAATCTGTGGCAGATAACAGGTTTTCTCATCTAGACGTTCTGTCAACAAAGACCTTCTGTAGTGCTCTGGTTCTGCTCGGTAGATGCTGGTCTGTTGCTGAGGAGTTACTAACGAATAGGAGGAGAAATACTTTGCACAGCTCACATTAGTTCTCATAGAAGTGAGTTATGGTGCGTGTCAGATTGAAGAGATGGTCATTTTAGTCATTATGCTGCAATTAGCATGTCATAAGCTACAATACAGTGAACACACTATGCTTCACCTTGCCACACTGGACCAGCACACACATAATTACGGACATACAAGCAATCCAATGCTAAATTGCTATTTTCTATATTTAGAAATGGTGTCGGAATTGTAATAACTCAGATCTTCTCTGTGGTGTTAATAGGGAGAAATCATTGACAAGACAAGGAAATTCTTTCTTTGAGAAACTCGAGTATTTAGTTATATCCCTTCTTTATTTTTACAAATACATATGTGAGTTGATAATTATGACATTATAATAATAATAATAAAACATGTTTATGCTCTAATGCTGCTTTATTTAAATCACTGTCTAGGAAAGTTTTCATTCCATCTTGGTGGGTCCTACAAAGGGAAGGAAAATCACTTCCTTTTGTTCAAAGGAATGTGGTGCTATGTTTCCTGCATCAGGAAGAGCTGGTTGATTAGTGGATATTATGATAGACCACAGCCTTTGTGGGCAGGCAAATGATTTAAAAACCATTTGCCAATGGAAGTTTGTCAACGGGCAAGCAGACCCCCTCTGTTTTTTTTTTTTGTACCTTGTTAACATGTCCCACATGGTGTTTTTGATATGCTGGAAGACACATCATGACCGAAATAAGCAGTCAACGCCATGGCTGATCATTCCACCTCAAAACTGCAGTTCATCTGTAAAAAACAGCAGTGATTGGCGGAGGAGTGAACGAAGAGAGAGGCAGGGACTTCGATCCACAATTACAAAGGAAGCAATGGTGCAGAGTTAAATCTAAGTCATTTTAAGGTATGGAAGGATTATAGTCATGAAAAAAAAAAACTTCTAAATATGAAATGTCTTTACACAGAGATACATTTTTTTAGGGGCTTAATCACTGACAGCAAAGGTATTTTAAGGTAAAGTCATTACTGCACTGCCAAAATGGTTTGTTAAGAAATCTTTGTAATTGCAACACTGGCAAATACGTGTCTCGTGTTCTCAAGAACTGCAACAAAAAAGTTGTAGACGAAGACTGTAATGAAAAGGTCTGACTATAATGTTAGCAGTACTGTAATTATTTGGCCATTTAGGCTTTAATTAGATAGAAGAGTGTAGCGGTAGACAGGAAACAATATGCCGTACCATTAAGAAAGCAGTACAGGATAACAACATCTGATGGGCCAACAGTTGGCTATAAAATAAATATTCACCTGAAATGAAAATGAACAGATGCGACTTTTCAAGTGAAGGTACTTACACATTCACAGACTTATGTGAAACTCATTTAGTAGTTGTTAGATTGCAATTTGGATTAATTAATTACACTATCACTGTTACAACAAAATAACTTGTCACATGCACGCTGGAAAACAACAAAGTGTGGTGTCTTAGACATCAAATTTCAAGCCATCTGTTTGGAAAAAGGGTTTAATTAAAAGTTCCGATGCCAAACTAGATTATGAAACTTTGTGATATTAGAATGTTTGTTCCCCTCCTGGTCCTCTGTACCTGTCCTTCTACAAAATGCTTCTGTCGCTTGACTGTTGTTGAAAGTTAGAGCTAATCTCCAATTTAAGAAGGCTCATCAACCATATTTACATATTAGGCAAAGGAGCCACCAAAATGGAGTGTCAGATTGTGATTTTGAGCTTAACGAAAATCCACAAGCAATGTTTGGCAGAAGAATTTAATTGCACGTTTTGAGCAAAGTAGTGGTTACAAAGGCCATACAATCCTGTGCTTAAAGGATTATGATGCACATTAGAGGATTTTTTAGGCACTTGATTGAAAATGAGCTACTTTGAACTTGTTGATCTCTGATACATTATTTATCTGATAAATAGAAGTCTTTATTTATGCCATTTTTCTTTTGCCGAAAGCCGACAATTTTGTTGTGTGTATGGAAACGTATGCATAATGTAAATAAAAAGGATTCTGAGTAGATGTCTGTGAAATGATCTTGCATGGACATTTGGACAAGATTATCCATGATGTAATTCTATAGGTCATTGTAGTTGGTATAATTCATTATAACATAACTGTTCTTCTCTCTCTCTGGGAAAATGGTTGAGTCAACTGGGCTTTACAACCTGGATTGAGTTATACTTTTTTTTTTTGTATTGACAATTCTAAAGGCATACTAATTACCGACCATTCACTGAGGGAGAATGAAAAAGGCCACCATTTACTTTGCATATAATAGCAATTAAGTTGTAAAGAATCCCCACAACCTTAAAGGTGTAGTTGAATCTGCACTTCAGCTATTTCTAGCCTCTAAATTAAATTGACTTTAATTTGCTGTGTATTGCCTTTTGTCAGTCAGCTGTGCATTAATTAGATCAAGTCATTGAATTGCATGAGGCTGTTCTATTCATTGGTAAATCAAAGAGAAGAATGGATTGTAAGTGCAGTTTATTATCTAATGTTTGCTGTTTCTTTTTCCCTCCGTACACCCACCATAAAGTGTTAAAGACAAAGCCACATAAACCTGACATGTTGAAAGGATCACAGTATAGCTGCAGCAGACAGTAAGGGCTTTCTATAATCCAAGAGGCTTTCACAGGGATGTCTTTATCTTCGAAATCTAAACCAACACAATCATGCTTTTGCCACAATGTGACATGTACTTGTGTCTTTGTTTTTTTAGGTCGTTCGTTCAAGCCCAGCTGCTGCAAAGCCCAGAAGTCTCTGGAGTTTATCCCAATAAACTTGCACACCCAGAGGATGAGGGTGACATGCCCCAAAAAAACAGGTACTCTTTTAGAATTGTCTTGGAGTCATTATTGCATGCATTGAATTCAGGCTTTCTTCCCGACGGGCTCGAGAGCAACTTGGTTCTATGGAGAAGAGCTGTTTGATATGAATCGGTGGTCCGCTCGTGTGCATATTCTGTAAACAGCTGTGGTTGTCGCCTACTGTTGTCTTTCTATGCCTGACTTCTCCATCTGTCAGAGATGCTCAGAGGGCTCAGACAGGGTGGTTCTAGGTCATCACCCAAGCTGAAGGTGAGAATTAACTTGGCCTGAGAAAAAATAGACAAAACGCTAATTAAGCCCTTTGCGTTTTTCCAGAGTGAAAAACTAGACTGTCTCCTCAACTGCTGCTCTCTAGCTGGCAGAGGCTGTTATTGCCCTGGAACTGTCTCAGTGTATTAAGGCAACTAACTGCTGCTTCACTATCTGTGAGTGGGCTCTATTTCAACTAAGCACCAGATGATTGATGGAAAGTTGAAGACAGACAAACCTTGACATAAACTGTCTTTTTTTTCTGCGAAGACCTCTGGGATGACAGATGAAATAGGTGAGATCAAGTCATCATACGAGCCTGCAGCTCTCTCGCTCTGTCAAGGCCGTAAAACGGGTAAAACCATATTAAAACAAGCCTTAGAGGAGTTTGTCAATTGATTGATTGACACTGTGATAATTACCCTCTGTGGGCCCAATTCACACCTTAACTCAATTCCAGACAGCAGTGATTTAGCTGAGCTGTGAGTACACGCCAACATACTACACACTACACTCCTGCAAGGTGCACACTGCAGCCACTGGTTTCACAATGTTAATTAAGAAATCTGGACAATATGGAAAAGTAGTGATGCAAAAGGACATACAGTAGCTGAGTAACAGCATTATAGCTGTATCCTAATAAAGTGGCTGCTGACTGTATGTTTCACCTATCATAATTAGAATTACATTTACTAACATAGGGGAAAAGCTTGCTAACAAAGCAGTCAACCAACATGATATCAGTGGTCATCTGTTGCAAATGGTTTGGCACAAATTAAAGCCTTCTCGAACATAAAACAGCCGACAAGAAGATAGCAACTAAAAGCCGTTCTTCCTGAGTATCAGTCTACCCTCTTGTTTCAAATTACTCAGCCATGTTGGATATTAAATTCCCTCTAATTTTTTCGCTTTCCGCTTGATTTAAAAAGAAAAAAACCTGTGAAATAAATTGCAATCAATCAGGCACAGGAAACACTAGGACCTGCTCCTTGTTGCAACTGAGTTTCAGTTTCCAACTGTTGTCAATTGCTATATTGTTCTATTTGATTTTCTGAAGTGATGCATTTCCCTTAGTTTGACTATGCAATCTACTCAACAATGCTAAACCATTAATTTTCATTCTGCCTATTGATCATCCAGCAGGAGAAAGAAATCAGGGGAAAAAACAACACTTTGAGCTCTGAGCAGTATTCATTTGTTTTGCTGTGAATGGCTGTCTTTTGTCTCTGAAATGACAACTGTAAAATGCTTCCAGTCTGAAAAGCTCAGCTCGGCAAAGCTGAACTGAAAGCATTGTTCAGCACTCGTTTGGGTCAAGTAAAAGGATGTTTTGTCAGCGTTACAAAGGATTGTTGAATGGGTTAAGTATGAATTATAACCACTCATACTGACTGCCACAATCAGTTTCCTCTTTAAGAAAGCCACTGTCCTCTCAGCATTTAAACAGCTTGTTGATTTATTGAGGAAAAGATGGCGTGAGAGGAAGAGCAGACAAATCAAGCACAAATTGGTCATTGTGCTTGATGTTCTGAAAACCCACAATTGTTTTGTACTTCTACTGTGGGAGAACCAATTAAGGGAACCTGGATATCTGAAAACTCCAGGGGCCATACGTGTGGCAGTCGAGGAGCCTTATGGCCTGGCGAAGGGATAATTAATGGAAGAAACAGTGGGTAGGAGCAAAACCCCGACATCAAACCGCGATTGGTCTATTGTGGTGTTGTCATTTACTTCTCTGTGGCAAGACTTGGAGCTGTTGTGTCATTAATTTCTATTTTCAACAATTTTTCAAGCAGTGTTTCCTCTGGTCAGAGCTGTGGACTTTAGCTTTCTCTGGGGTATTCATTAACTGACCTGGCACTAAACCATACCAAAATATTCACCCCCATAATCCCCCATCCATCCCGTATCCTGCCTCTCTGTTTTTCTGATTTAATTGTCAGCTTCGTCCATTAGTCATTCAAAACAAGGCCTGTTCTAAGCACCTCTGTGCCCGCCTAGCTGTCTGTGAAGTGTTTATTTACTTCTGACGCCGGTGTGCAAATTGGAATGAAGCACTGTGACATTGGCTGTCCTTCTGGTTTAACATGGGACCAGTGCTACATTAAGACCAAGAGATGTCCAGAGAGAGAAGACTGCTAGTACAGCGGTATAGACATAAAAATAATGTCATGCCTCTTTGGTGTGCATACATATGACATATTTGTTGGCGTGTAAACAATGTTTGAGTGTGCTTGTTGCTTGTTTTATGGAATGTAGCACTTTGCAGCAGCACCTCATAACGAAGGAAGCTTCTGCATTTAATATTCATCAATTCAGAGTCGGGAACGTCCAGCATCATTACCTGTGGCTATTGCACTTATTACTGGCATTTCTAGAAATGATTTTTGTGAAATCTGACTTCAAATTAAGTTCACCTTACACTGAAAAACACTCTTTGACGGGGATCATTTATTCATTTATTTGTTTGAATTACATTTTTCTCGCTTCAAGGTCCTCCAGAACGTGTTTTCAGAGTGCTGTATCATATATATTAGACATTTTAAATGCTGTGAGCTCTATTTTCTCTCTTTACAGATGCTTTCTATGACATTGTCACTGTCGGTGCCCCTGCAGCCCACTTCCAGGGCTTCAAGTGTGGCGGTCTGCAGCGTCTCCTCAGCAGATACGAAGCAGAGAAAAAGAGGTACTAAATAAACATTCACACCATGGAGGCATGTGCTTGGAGGGAGCATGGGTGATTTAATACAGGACACATGCTGAGGAAACAGGCATGTATTGACAAAGGAATTTAACATGGTCATAATTAATAGTGACAGACAAATTTGTCCCTGGCCCATGGACTTGATTTTCCTAGTCCCATACAGTTATTCACAGCCAGGACACGCTGAAATTAAACTGGAACTCCACTGCCTCTGACAGCTCAATTTGACTGGAGGCAACAGGCATGATGGAAAAGGATTGTTGAGTCAGAAGTTCCTCTGCACCTGTTCTTTTCCCTGGCAAGCATTTTCTCCCTCATGAAGTTGTATGTTAAGTTCTCACTGAAGAGACACTTTTTGCTGCAGCTTCCCAGGTGCCAGCTGGAGCTCGCTGTTGAATTTAAGGTTTTGAGAAATGGAAGAATTCTAAGCTGAGGTAATGAGCAGCGATAACATTGTTACTGCAAAAAGATATTTACAGCGCACATGAAGAATAATCCATAAGCAACAGCTGTCGGTCTACCATAAGCACTGTACTCAGATTATTCCTAAATATTTTCAAGACAAGAAGTGAGTTTTTATCCTACAAATAATGTACCAACAAGTCTTCAAAATGTGCTTGCTTTGCTCAGACCAGTGTTGAAATTAGAGTTATTTTGAGAGTTGTTCTCACTGACACTCAGGGAGTCTTTCAGATTGAGTTTAATGTTAGATTGAGTTCAGTCCGTGGCTGTGAAGCAGCTCTCTGCTTGATTGCTTGATGAAAAATAAGTCTTGTGTGTTTTCGTCATTCACCAACAGTGCTCCACAATCACTCAAGACCATGCTATTGTGTTATACACAAACAAATACATAGATAAATATGAACACACACTTGCACTGACTGAAAGTGCACTCTGGGGCAACATATCCATATGACTCTCAAACCTGAGATCAGCAGTATCCTGTAAATTTTGCTGTCTTTGCCCTTTGGATGCAAGATGGAGCTATATGTCACTGGAGTTCAGTATGTGGTCACTTGAGTGATGCCAGAAGAAATGAAGGGTGATTTTTCCCATAGCTCCCCACAGAGTGCAAAGTCATTACAGACCATGCCAGATCCAATTAGTTACAGAGTTTGCAGCTCAAGAAAGAGGAGGAGAGGCAAGATGGAGAGGGGTGAGGTATGGGTATAAAATGGAAAAGCTGATGGGAAAATAGTTGGGGGCTTGTGCTGATAATCAAAAATAAAGAAAGGCTTTTTTTTTTTTTTACGCTAAAGTGCACAAGTGAATTTGCTGAAGATGGTCAGTTTTATCTGCTAGCATGAACAATGATAAGGTTAGCATATTTTCGAGAATCCACTGAAGTGAAATCATTTACTCTGAATGAGAGATTAGACTTCAGAAAGAATTCTCCAGGGAGACAGAGCTTTTTGTTTCATATTTGACTTAGCTAATGACTCACTGTAGCTTAAATTTTCCAATTTTCCGCCTGGCTAACTGACTACGGCCTGCACTGAGCCTTATATATGTTTGGCCTGGAATGTGGTCAGAAACAGGAATAAACTCAGATTCTCTGATGTCACTGAGTGTTCACGGTAGCCATTCTGATGAAGGTGCCTGTTTACTAAAAATGATCAACATTGATATTTCATGGTTTAATTTGCTGTTAATATGCATGCAGTAAATGTCTGACCAGCTGTTTAGCCTAAAAGAACCAAAGGAGGCTTTCTGTGTGTTAATGTGAAGTACTGTGGCTGTGTCCAGGTGAGGGTCCCTTAATTGTACGCTAAGTCAAGCCTGTTTCAGCAGAGCAAAGATTCATGTGCACACACACTCACACAATCATTATGCTTCTCCCAGTATGCCTCCTCGCCTTTCAGAAGCAGCCTTTTGTAATCACATTTGATTAAAAAGGGAACAATCGGCGAGATGTGAGACTTGGCCATTCAATGTGATATTAATTCATCAAAGAGAAGATGGAGAAGGATTGAGGAAGGAAAAAAGGAAAACCTGAGCATAGAGGTGTTACCAGGAGGGCAATAAAAGAGCCATTCGTCTTTGTTCCCTGGACACTAGAAGAGAGGGAGGGGGGTTCTTTCCAGATCCATTAAAAAACCTACATTGGCCAAACTTGGCATTGGTCAGAGTATGCAATGTAGTTTGTCTCTCAGGATGGGCCCGGAAAGAGTTTAATCAATAGCGACACTTAGTATTCCTCAAGAAACACTGCACATGTACACACAGGGCAAAAGCATTTATCTTTCATTAATGTATGCAGTCCCACTTAAATGTCTGTTTTAAAAGTCACTGGATTTTTATCCGTTTTTAATTGAACCCCATAGACATAGCTTTGGATTTGCTGAGGTGGTCTAATCTTTCATTAACAGCTTCTTCTGAATTATTCAGCTAATCTGAATAACGATGCAACGCAGGTTTTATGGAACCTGAACATTGCCAGTTTTCTCTACCTTAACAGCGGGTGTATGTGTGTCTGCATGTGTTTTATTGTACATATATGGGAGAAGGTTATATAGTAACTATTTTCAGAGTGTTAGACCACCTTTTTGTAAGGTCAGATGTAGTTAGTTGGTGCAGAAGCTGTGCAGCAGAGCTCCCCTCCACATGTGTCTTTGAATTCTGTCTGCTGTAACAGAGAGGAAGGAAGGATTGTCATTTCGCCCGGCCTCCTGGTCAAGCAGAACTGCCCAATGACACATTTCTGGGACACGGAGTGTGGTTGAAGCTACATCGCACGCCCTTAATAGAGTCTCTTGGGGCCGATGTTCAGATTTAATGTGACCAGCAGCATGTTGTCCAACAAAATAACTTCCTCCCCGGATTACTGGATGTGTGTTTGAGGGACTGGACATTGGCAGTAGCTGGGACTCCATGCTGATGGACAGCAGCTTGTTAGTTCTTTGCCTGCTCTGGAGTCAACCTGCTCCAGGTTCTTTGGATGATGGAGAAGGATGCTGGCAGTAGCCTTGAGGCTTCTCTGGTCACAGATCTGGGTCTGAATGTGTCTGAATCATTGAGGAAAGCTTTGGCTGTTATACTGAGAACTGGTACAAGATCAGTGCCCAGTGGAGGATTCAACAACAGATGGGGATTGGCAGTCAAAAGAACTGATCTAAGATCACATTTTCCACTATGTATCTATAGCAAACTGGATATTTCCACTGTGGCCATGTGGCAGTGGCCTGGTGTAAGAACCGTGATTACAGCGTGCTGTCTAAATGACAAAGGAGGCTTTGGCAGTCACCTGAAGTGCTGCAGGGTTCTCTGCTGACGTAGCTGCATTTTACTCCTGCTGGCTGTCAGCGGCAGGCCACAAGCTCTTCATTAATTTCCTCTCTGCTATTAATTAGCCATACGCCGGAGATGCTAGCTTAATTAGGCCGCTGGGCCCAGTGGTTTTCTCCCTCTCATTACTGTTACAACCAGTTCCTATTGATCATTTAGAAAAACCAAGGAAGAAATTCACCCTGGACCCAATACTAGTTTTAGTGATCTGTTACTAGATAGGACTTTCCTCCTCAACATCAGTTAGCCTGATAAACTGTTGTGCTGCATATGGATGTGTTCATCTTCCTGAAGATCAAATATTGTCTGTGTATGAAAGTAGAATTACAAAGAGATGAATAGCGATAATTTCATGAATGAATCTAAGTGTAGGTGCAAAGTTTAGTCAAGAGTGCGAAGCATATTGTGTAGAAGGAGTGGCAGCACACCTTCGGTATTTTAATGACTGAAGATGCATGGTGCACCCAGGGTGGTGAGAGGTGGGATTAAAAAGAATCCATTATCATACATTATCAGTGAATGTGTTGGAGTCTGACAGCAGGTCTTTCTGAAAGCAATGCTCTCCCGACAATGACGCACTGATGTCATGTAATGGAATCTGGAAGAGATGGAGACTTGCAAGTGCAAACATAGTCCAGTGCAAGTATACCTTTGATGCCAGATGAAATGAATTCTTGTTTCTTTACAATGCTTGTCCATGGATGGGCCTTTAAATCACAAAAAAAATCAACTGCAAAAAACACAACGGACGTAAGGGACAGTAGAATTTATAATCTCAAAAAATATATACATAAATGAAAATGCAGAAAGCCACAAGAAAAACGACAGGACACAATGGGTAAAATACAAACTATGATACAATAAAAGCACCATAGGCAACAGATCATTTAAGACATGACTGAGCTCCTCAGTAAAAGCTTCTGGAAGCAACATATGGAACATCCTGTGGGTGCTCTGTAATGATACACAAAATGAATGCAAATGCTTGCATTAAGTTAGCATACATGCACCAATTATGTCACTGCTTCCAAACAAGGAACAAAATGGTTTTCTATACAGGACTTTAATGAGAATGGATGCGAGCCACAGAAATGTGAAATGTGGAGTATTTTACAACAAACTCTTTTTTTCCCTGTCACACCACATTTACATTTAACCAGCACAGTCACATGACCAGTTGTGGTTCTGTGCTATAATATCCTGCTGCTCATCACAGTCTTGGCTGCATGTGTCTTGAGGATGGCCCGGCCTCTGCTGTGTCCTGCTAAACATAAACTGGGAAGGAGTGCAGAGCTTTCATGTGTATTTGAAGTTTGACAAGTTATGTCACACATAGTAAAGGCTTCAGCTGACACCTTTAGATGTATTTATAGGGAGGTAATAAAAGGCTGTTGTGGATAGGAGATGCTCATAAACATCAAATACTAGAATTTGTGCCCTAATTGTCAGATGTCTATTAAAACAGGGAACTAAATAAGCAGGAACATGCAGTCCTGTCTCCTAACAATTGTGTTCCGATACAACTTAGCTGAATTTTTGATTACGTCTTCAAGAAAACATTACGTTACGTTTGGTTGTGACGTATCATAAATACTTTTGTAATCAGAGTGTTTCTACATGTATATTATTGGTTGGCTACTCCAACCAATAATATACATGCAACACTGAATCATGGTAAATTTAATATAACTTACTTG